ACGAACAAAAATTAGACGCATGAGATGGCGTATTTGAGGGATCTCATGTAAAAAATTCCAATCCCACTGTTCGATATTTCGAGAACTAAACTTTATTGACATATGACTTATAGTCATGTTATACAGACAGTCATGGTCGCGTCAAATGTGAAATTGTTGTTGTTTTTATTAAGATTGAGAGAAATAGAAGAACTTCAATTAAAATTTGGTCCCGGTGGCAACGCTTTCTGTGCGTCTTCAGATTATTTAAAACAGCTTTACACAATAAACAATGCCAGAATTTGCGGTTACAACGAGTAAGTATTTTTGTGCGGATATGTAAGTACAAAAAAAACGTAACTAAATAACAGTAAAAGCAGAAAATTGACAATTGTGTTATACACTCTCTATATAACATTCTTTTTAGCAACAACCGAAAAAAGTAAAAAATTATAGGGGCTATTCGTTATATGACTGTCTCTTTGTCGGGATTCTTAATAAAAAAAAAGTTGTTTATAATAGCAAATTTAACAATAATTCAAAGTCAAATGGGTGTGCTTAGGAAATCTGAGTTGAGTTCTTATTTGAAGATACTATTCCGATTACCGGTCGACGCCGATTTGACAACAATCGCAAAGTTCCCACTTATTGTTGCACTAAATATGCCAATATAACACAATGGAGCAATGGGTCCAAGTGGGATCCTTAGATTCGCTTACCTTTTAAAATATTTAAGTTTAAAGTCATAATATTTTTACATTAAATGCAATTGCCAAGATAAAACTACACACTTCAACTAACGCCAACCAGTATGTGTATGTAATTTTCAACTTGAAAACTCGATATCTAGAAAACTAAGCTATGTTATATTGACACAAAACGTAGTAGAAAAAGTTGCTCAAACAGTTCTATTTACCAAATTCCTTCATCAAATGGGAGTCCCTAGGATTTATCTGAATCTTGCTCATATTTATTTAACTTTATTTTATGTATTTATTTGTTTATTTGTTAAGTTTATATAATTTATTTATTTCATTTTACTTTATTTTTTTATTTTATTATTTTATTTTTTTTTAATTTATTTTATTTTATTTTTTATTTTATTTCATTTTATTGTATATCTCACCAACGAGATTGTAGAAAATAAATTTCGGCATCCGAACTAATTGATATAAATAGGTTGTAAAGTGCAGAACTGTATGGACTTCTATTTTTCTTCTCTCTAGTATTATATTATTCTAGTAATCTCAAATTGTTCCAAATTTTATTACTCAAAATTTGAAATAATCAAATTTCTTTAAATATGATATCTTTATTAATCTTTTTCAATTAAATTTTCTATTTTCAATTATTTAAATGCAAGCTTTCGAATAATTAAAATGTTCCGAGTTAGGAACCAAAACAGAAATTCAAGAAATTTCCAAACTTGAGGAGTGTGGCTTATTTGATACTTTGTGGCAGAATTTCCTAAAATGCGTTGAGGAAAACTTTAAAGTTGAGACAAGTGGAAACAAGCATAAAATCAATCATGGAAGTTAATGGATAAGGTAAACTTTCAGTTCGTTACAGAACGTGAAATTGCCCCTGAAATATTGTGTGCCAACTTTCGGAAAGTTTTAATTGCCAACGCGTACGGGGAGCTCAACAAATTTGTAAATATCCACACATATAAACTGACAAACTTCAGATACTAAGGTAACTTAAATTGAAAATAAATGGAAAAATTTAAAAAATTAACCAAAACTGAAGCGAAAATGAGATGACATACAAAAGTAAATTATGATTTCATTTATACTCTATAACTCGATAATGGAAGATGCAATGCAAATACTTAGTTGATGGTATAAACTAATAAAATAATAAAAAATTTATTAAAAAATTTATGAACACAGTTTGAAGTTTTGATATTAAAAATTAAATTCAATGAAAGTCAACAACTACAGAGGCTACTGCATTTCATTGTGAATGACAGTCAGCAAAGCAATTTCGATTCCGAACGAGTACCAAAAGTGACAATTAGAATGAAACTAAAAAAAAAAAAATTAAAAATAAAGGACACAAATAAACTTCAATGCTAGTCCACATGACATGTCGAATGGTATTTTTTGGGAAGGAAAACTTCTAAAGAATTTTCATTGTCAGCTCAGTTACTCATATTGGATGCATGTCAATAAAAATACTTAGTAAAAATGTTCTAATGACTGTGATATGTAGCCAAAGCACAAAGAAAGATACTAAAATATATTTCCAACTAAAATGCAATTGCAGTGATTTTTCCTAGAAAACTCATAAATCAAACTCTTTCTACTAGCTTTGGTTTCTGCTTTCACTGACATGGCAAGATTTTCAATTTGCATTCTGCTCGAATTTAAGCCAATCGTTAATTCCGATCGAATGCATATTTGTGCGTGTAATAAACTCCAGTTTAAATCGATTTATGGAATCATGCGTGTCGAAATTACCATTCATGAACGTATGAATGCACTTAAGTGGATATTTGTTTCCTTAGGTCAATTGAGATGATATATGCTTTTGTGTGCAATATAAAAATAGTTCTGGTATTTTAAATGAGCAAACTCATACACAGTACCACAACATAGCGATAACACACAACGACATAATTTAAATTATAATACTATCGCTAATATTGCTACTTCTGAAAATATGACAGAGTTAATTATCTTACAGTATAAACCAATGAAAATGAGGATGTCCTCATAAATATAATTTCTGGCGTTGAGTAGAAGCATTATCACTGTACAGTTAAAGAATGAAATTAGAAGTTCATAAATTGGATTGATAAATAGTAAAATTATATTAATTTGCCTTTTGAACGTATGAAAATCAATATATGGGTTACTAATTGAGTATAAAATTTATTAAAACATATTGTACCTGATGATTACTACTGATTTCTTGACTACCATATGGAACATAGGGCCTCCACCATCGATTTAAATCGTATTATATTAGAAGTTGTACTTGTAACAATTCTTTTTCAACTGTTCTCTGCCATGTTAGGGGTAGTTAGTGGTAGCCAACCACCTAGTGTGTTCTATCGCAGTGCTTGCCTTGCTATATTATTTGCGGATGACTATATGATATAGTTTTAATACACATTCATATATTAGAAGCACTAACTTTGCAGTAAAAAGTACAGCTATAGTGGAATTAAGTAGAGAAGGACAGTAGCAAACCAGCAAAAGATAATGTAAAATCGAATTAATCAATTTGTTTAGAAAGTATTTGTTGTTCTTTAGTGGCATTTCTCAATTTTGTGGATTATGTCTAGTATCCTTGTCTATTTATTGCAAGCAATTTCATTGTGCTTCTACTTTACTTGATGAAATGCGAGTTAGTATCTAAAGCAAATTTACTTAATAATGTATGTGGCCAATTAGTTGATGAGCTCTATTTAATTATAATAAGTTATTCAAATAATTTTACAGAAGTTTAGGTCCCAGCATATCTTCCTGCTGGAATCACACAAAATTTCATCCTCCCAAAATTTCCAAGAGTGAATTTCGGGAGGATCTCCAAAATTATACAATTTCGACGCATTGCCTTTGATGTGCCTTTACATACTTTCATTTATTAAGCCTTAGTGTATATCTTAATATATATATCTTAATATATCTTAATTTTAATGTTTTAAGATTATTTAACATTTGTAAGATTATATTTTACATTTACATTTGTGCAAATTTCAAGCTTTTTGTTATAATAGAATTTGGTAAGTATATTACACCAACGTATAGGTTAACTATATTTAGCTAAATACCAAATTTACGGAACATTCAAAAAACATTTATGCAAAATAACCTGACTCAAATCTTATGAGACACGCTTTTCTCAATTGAGGCAATTATAATAGGTGTTATCTTCTGTAAATATATTTTAAAAAGATAACCGGTTACCGGAACTATAAACTTGTCTATTGTGAATAATTTTTGGAAATACATGGCAAATGTCCAGTCATGATTGCAGTCACGTCACGGCAATTGTTGTTGCTTTCAATGCAAAATGAAAATTTGATACTGACAGCTCATTTCATTTTGCATTGAAAGCAACAACAATTCCGTGACGTGACTGCAATTATTACATGCTCCTAAGCAAATTAAAAAGAGACAACAGCTTATTTTAAAAAGAGACACAAAACCGTTTAACCGATAAGCAACTCTCAATGTACTTGGTTTTTTAAAATTTCTATTTTTGTTTTAAATATTTGAAAGTGGTTTTAAAGAAGTTGGGTTAAATAAGCCAGCAGTGTTGTTTTTTACATGCCTTTTTTTATTTAAATGGTTATATTTTTAAAATTTGTCTTTATGAAATTACGCCTATAAATACTTTCTTTTGAAGCTATCCTTTCACATATGACTCTATGTATTTTGTGCTAATTTAAATCGAAAACTTAATAATTGTTTTTTAAAAGTCAATAAAAAGGATTAATTATGTTATTTGCGACAATATAAACCAATTTGCACTTCATTTCCTTCTTTCGTGAAGTCGCCTCACAAACTTAGGTTGATGTCACAATCCTTTTCCGTACAAAAACTGGACAGTTTAAGTCCGATTAAATTCTAATTGAAACAAAATTAACTTAACATCATTTTGTTAGTTCACAAAAGTACAATTATGCAATCGTATTTGTGAATAATTATCAAGTGAAGAAATTATATTTTACCGTGTGAACAAGAGTTTCTTACAACGCAAACTGATTAGGCGTACCGTGTAAACAGGTTATTATTTTTCAGTATGAACAGTATTTTTTAGTTAGGTTTTGAGATTTGGTAGACGCAATATTCATAATACTTTTGACAGTTCTAAGTACTTACTCAGTAACGCAGTTTTCAAAATGAAATCAAGCACATTTTTAGTTTAAAGGACGTCAAGGAATTCCGAACATTAAATTGCTACATATCAATTTGAAAAGGTATCACAGAATTCTATACTAAATTATATTAAACACATCTGTATGGTCAGAAACGCGTGAAAACTTGCTGTTTTGAAAATCAAGCAAAATGGCTCAAATCGTAAGTTCTATTTATGACCTCCAGGGATTGTATGATAACTTTCATGATATGGATTTGTGTGAAGATTTATTGCGTGGTATTTATAGTAGTGATATAGAGAAGCCAACGGAAGTACAACAGCTTGCTCTAATGTTCTGTTTGCAAGGATATGATGTGATTGCCAATGCGCCTATAGGCACAGGGAAAACAATTGCGCTGCTCATTGCCATATTACAGAAAATCGATACAACGCTTAAAAATTGTCAAGCTCTAATCGTTGTTAAAAACTTTACAATTGCATCTCAAATAAAATATCTGCTGTGTCAGTTGTGTAAATTTATGGACGTCGACATTTTTGTTTACATGCCTAACCATAAGTTAAGTACCTGCCATCAGATAGTTATTACTACACCCATCCATGCATTGCACTTTGTTAAAACACCAGATCAGTCTGAAGGCATAAAATGTTTACTCTTAGATGATATTGAAAATATTTTAACATGTCAAAATACACGTATGCTTGAACAATTATGCCATTCTTTGCCGTGCAAAGTTCAAAAAATGCTCTCGACCACTATATTATCGAAGAAGGCTTATCAAACGTGCTGCAGCTTAATGAATAATCCAATCAAAATTCAATTGGAGAATAATAAAAGGCGTCTAGATGGTATTAAGCAATATTACATTGCCATTAACGAAATTTGGAAACTGAATACCATTCGAGACCTGTACGAAACACTACCTCTAAATCAAATTGCAATATTTTGTTCTTGCAAGTGCAAGGTAGCATTAATAAGTCGAGAGTTGATAAGGCAAAACTTCACTGTCGTAACTGCATATGAAAATATGCACCCTCTAGATCGCCAGATTATGCTACATACGTTTTGTTCTGGTTCAGCACGAGTATTGATAATAACAGATTACATGGCACGTCGCATATTAATACCACAGGTTTCTTTAATAATTAATTATGATCTTCCTGTGAATCCTAGAAACTATTTGTACCGTATTGGTTGTGTCAAACGATTTGGACGGAAAGGTATGGCGATAAATTTAATATCAAAAAAGGAATCTAAAAATTTGGAAAAAATAACGAAGTATTTTAATACTCAAATTGAAGAAATGCCGGCTAATATATTAGATCTGATATACTAATAAATTTATTTCTATTAAAAAAATTATTGATCAAAATTGTATTTTATATTATTTTTTAATCTATAAAGTAAAATAAATATGTATATTTTTATAATCAAATAAAAATAAATTTTTAACTTCTGAAATTCGAATTTTCTATAACTCGAACTAAATAGAGTGCAAAGGGTTGAGAGAGCAAATTACATGCAATTACAAAAAAATTCTTTAACTCGAAGTCTCCATAAGCTAAACCCTTTCTTTATAAAATGGACTTCGAGTTGTGAAAGTTTGACAGTATTTTTATATAAATAAAGGTTTTAAGCAATATATGATTTCGATAGATAGGCTATTTTGAATATATTTTTGTGTGAAGTTATCGTATTGGCTATGTGCGGCATCTCTCATACAAAAATGAAGAACATATACCATATACATATGTGACAAAAACAAAACACGATTAATAAAACTAATCAAATTAACTGACTATAATAATTATATAAAAATATTAAACTGAAAAAATATATAACAATTAAGATAACATATGCTTTATTAAACCTTGAAAATATACTTAATTGAATACCACAATAAGTAAGTGAATAGCTTTTTATTTCGTATTCCATGTGAATGCATTTTTAACGTGAACTTTTAAATTGGATTTAATAAAAGAGCAAATTTGTTATTAACAAAACTTTGTTTTGCTTGGCAGATAATTTTACAAAAATTGGTATTAGGCACTACTCTACATAACCCTTTACTTATCTTCATTAAGCAAATGAGGTTGAAAAAGGCATACCTAACAGAGCAATCACTAAAAGTTTACCATTTTTAGCCATGAAGGTTTTACTTTAATGGCTGAGCAATTTATGAAATGATCTATTAAATGAAAATTACGTCCTTTTAGTTTTCCTGTAAATGATAAAAAAGGGTCCCAAATAAATTACGCCTACCTTTACCAGATACTATTCAATACACGTCACCTTAGCTATTGACAAATTTTATACAAAAGGTTGCTCAGGAATAACGCTCTTTTGTCTCATAAACTATTTACGGTATATGAACTAATTAGGATGAATAAATTTGCTTAAGCATATTAAAAAAAAAATTTTAAATACACAAAAAGTTTTTCAAATATTGCGTTTGTTTAGAAAATTATTAATAGTTAAAAAAAAAATTAATTAAAATATTAAATATTATGGTAATATCAAGTTATTACATTGCATTTATCTTAATAATATACGAAATACTTAATAGTTGCATAAATAATTAATTTGTTGATTAAAATATTATTGATAAACTTTACTTAAATGTTTTATAATATAATAATAAAATTTTAAAAATAGATTTATTTAATGTTAGCACAAAATTCAATCGGAAATAGTCAGAACATCACTTTATAGTTATGTTGGATATTTCATCAGTTCAGACTGAATGCGAATCAATATCATTTAAATTTAATTTGAAACTCTTAATGACATTTCAACACAAGCATCTGTACAATGTGACTAATAATATGTGCAAATGAAATTTGAGATTCAATATATGTCAAATTACTGTTGATTATTCATAAAATCATTTCCTCAATAGTGGCAGCAATGAATAAATTGAATTCAATAACAAATCCAGCATTTGTACGAAATTGATTGATTGATACTCGTAATTCAATTTCGTGTAATACAAAACGTAGTACACAGTGTTTGCTATAAAGACATTTAAACATATTTGCACAATATTCACAAACCAATCCAATTTCTAATAATTATGTACATTTTGAGATATGGAAGTTTATATTAAAAAAGTTCAATCTCAAAGAAATGTCACAAATTTTTAAAAATTTTATTTATAGCTGAATACTGAATTTATGGAATGGATATTCATAAAAAATTAAAAATTATTTTCTCTACAATAATATATATCCGATTATCACAATATCTACAAAACGAAAAAAAAAAGGAAATAGCAATCGACATATGTACTCGATTTGAATATTTAGAACAATATTCATCAAATATGAAAATAGAATATTTATCTTCACCCATTATTAATTCTTTAAGACGATAGCTTTATATTTCTTCATAAAAAGTCATGCATGTTACGATTAAAATGTACGTACTAATAAGCCTGCCAGACAGTCCATAAAATTATTTTTCAAAAATTATATTATTTATAAGGACTTTACAGCTTTTAAATCCATATCATATTTACTTGTAGACCAGAATAAATTTTACCGCTAAAAGAAATCAATCCATGCCCTTTAATCTTGTAAATCTCTTGCTTATATACTAATAGAGATTGAACTCTTCGATTTGTTTGCTGTGAAAATTATTTTTATTTAATTAAATTAAACATGAAAGTTATAAGTAGTGAATTACAATCAGAGCTGTGCAGTACTGATTACTGTTGTAATTAGATTACCCTCAATAACAATTTCCAAGGTAATTGTAATTAGAAAAAAATGGCATGGGAAGCTGAGTTATGAGCATTCATTATAGAGTTTTTGAAATTGACAGTAAGAAAACAAAATGCAAAGACGACGTACAAACCAAGATATAAAATTCAACAAATTTCTAATTGCTCAGAAATTCCGATGCTTCTTCTTACTTCAAGTACTTTTGCAAATTATCTGGAATTACGAATTAATGTTTCAAATCCAATTCCATTTGTAATCTATTAAGTCAATTCTCAATTGCTTCGAATTAGGAATTGGGTTCTTAAATTTCAATTTAACCTATAAACTCTCAACTCATTCCTAATTCCAATTACTTGAACTCCTTAATTTGTAATCTTGCAACTCAATTCCCAATTACCATGTAATTGTAATAGAACTGGTAATGGAATTGATTTTGCACAGCTCTGACTGCAATACAATCCATTTTATTTATTTATCTAGAATAACAGTTTTGTACATTTAAATTTTATATCATTTCAAATAAATCCTAAATGATTGAGTCATTATAACGTATATAATAAATCAATTTTATTTACAAATATGAAAACAAAAGTTCAAATTAATTTAGTAAAGATGTGTGCACTGTAGTTCAATGCAATGATTCTGATTTAGTTATCATAAAATCTTATCACTATGTTTAAAGTTTAACAAAACAAAAGGTTTCATATATTAATATAGATTTTTATTACTTTTAAAAAATTCTGATAAATTATGTGTTGAAGTTGTACATTGAAAGAGTTATTATAGCAAAGTCACTATTCGCTACTATTATACCGAAATCACTATAATCCTCACAATTTTCAAGGAACAGGACTACTATTGTATCAACCATTATGTGTTTTATATCTTATATTTAAATTATTGATTTCTTCATATCTTTAAAGCATTTCATTATGAGAAAAATTCTACTTATAATTTTTAGATACTCGAGAGTTAAATTATAAAACAATATTAGACACTATATGCATTTTTAAGTGATTTCTTATATTTTCAATTATCACAATAACTTAATAAGGACTCTGCTTTTTATAGTTCTAAAATATTCTTAACTCATAAAAATATATTATGTTCCACTTCTTTAGTAAAGAAACAAAAGTACAAATATAATTTATGTAATGACAAATTCATTGCTTTTGTTTTGTAATTAAAACTTTAATAATAACTGAGAATAATTATACAGATAACAACAAAGTCCTTCGGGGCTCGCAATACGTGAGCTATCAAAAGTTTTATCTACTAATTTTTAGTTTTTCCAACGATCTCGTATTTTGACTGAAATAACTTTTGAGCCAATGGCTATATTTTAATGATAAAATGTAATTTTAATGGAAATATAATTTATTTGAACTGACATTTTAATACAATTCAAACCAATTTAGTTTTAGAAAGAAATAAAGTGCACTAAAAATAAATTTAGTTAATCAAATAGATGTATTTTTCATGCAGTAAATGTATAACATTTCAATACAAAAAATGTCTATACCAATGGAGTAACTCCTGTATTTGGAATTTGTTAGATTAGATGAAACAAAATATTACTTATATAAATATAACATATATATATACGAGTACCATTAATCTCATAATACTAATAATTACTATATTGAGTTATTTTTTTAATTTTATTTTCTCTTTAACAAATACATTAATCTAATTAATATTATATTACAATTAATATAATATAACATTTTATTTATTTTATTAATTTTTTTACGTTTTATATTTTTGGACTTTTGAATAAAGAACTGTTCTTCAGTGTGTTACTCTTACTCGTACTTTGTGTATAATTAGCTTCTACACGAGTGCAAATGTCATCAACGATTTGAAGTTCATTTGACTTCTTCGAAGCAGATTATTATAATAACTTCTTTATTTACATTTATCAATATGTAAATAATTTATTTTCTGCAATTATTCCTTAATGTGTTTTTGGATATCCTTTACCAAGATAAGTTTGTATGACTAAGTAAAAATGCATTGAAAAACGTGTGAACAGCTATTTTGAACATCAAAGCATTTGTTAAATGAAAGCTTCCAAAAATTACCAAACAGTTTGTTTCAATTGTATTTCGTCTTATAAAATATTGCGTTAACTAAACGAAAATAAAAGTACAGATTATTAGTTTTTTTTTTGAAACAAAATTCAGTAGATTTTCAGTTTTACGAATAGTCAAACATACCGAAAAAGTGCTCTTTATATACCGAATGTTCTAAAGTCTTTGCAAGGTGCACGAAATGTAAGAATCCTATACTAAAATTACAGAGTGCGAGAATACCTCTGTTGCAGAATTGTAACATCAAAATACAATAGCTGTTTTTGCATCATATCACATCCACAAGAGAAGCAACAGATGTCAAAACAGCTGTTTTTTTCTTTTTTGTATTGTTGCAAGTATATATAATTGGGTTTAGGTATAGCAAGATTGCAAGAAACTTTATGCGTGTATTTTATTATTCCAGTTGTAATATAATTAAAAATTAATTAAAAAGTTTAGTTATTGAAAAGCTATGTATTTTCATATGAAAAAGGGATGTATGTATATAATGTTTAGACAGAAAGTGCAGGAAATTGTCG